AAGTGAATACATTCTACAATACCGCATCAAACTTTTAAATTTGCGAGCTGAGCATAACTCAGTTTGTTCGGTTCCTTGCGGTCAAGTCTGTCCATCCAAGTTCAAATGCTAGAGTTGGCGCGGGCGTTCAATTTTTTTGGATTTAGTCTAGGCTTTCCAATGATATTATTTCAGTGGTATGGCATGATGCCCATGTCGACTTTGTCAATCTCAAGATATGCCAACTCATTCTCTCACATATGCTCACATGGGTAGGACGTGCGTACACGCGTTCATAGGAGTGAGCGTGCATTCTTGTGTGTGATGTATGCGTCTGTATTGTGTTTTAATAAAAGACACTAAAATTGACTCCTGATATATAAAATTATTTAGAATAGTGAAGTAAAATAGTATCATTAGATTTATTATAAAAAGTATTTCCCGAATGTTATAATTCTATAATCTTTTGCTCACACATTTACACAAAAATTTTGATCAAAATAATCAAAATCGTGTGTTGGAAACAAGGACAGCCGCATATTCTAGTTTGGGACCCAATCTGAATATATCATTTGGACAGAGGGATATGCGCTGAATCAATGACGCACACCAAGCCACGCATACAGTCATGACCATCGGCCATCATTAGAGCAATGACCACTATCAAGTCGTGGCCCCTACTATCTAGGGGAAACAAACCGCCCCTAGACTCCTTGTTGAAGCGAAATTGTGATCATTTGCCACATTTTTTTCACACTTTTGTCTTATATGAGTAACTGGTGTGGTCCATGCAGACCTGCACGTATGGGCCGTGCCGGGCGGGCAGGCCCGCGGGCACGCGATAAAAAAGGTTGGGCCGGCCTTCGGCCTGCCACAGAACAAGCCTGATCATCAAGGCTAAGCCTTAAGGTCGAGCATGACATGACCCCTTTAATTGCGGGGCCTTTTTAGGGACGTGTTTTTTTGACCTTTTTAGGTTGTTTTGTCTTTTTAAGGACGTTTTAGGGTTGTTCTGCCCCATTTTGGGGGTATTTTACCATTTTTACCATGGGCTGGCCCACAGCCATGTCCGTTGGGCGTCCCATTTCCTGAATCCTTAAGCGCCAAATAAAGTGTAAAAGCACACACACACACTGGTTCGCTGGTCTAAAGTGGGTTGCCGGGCCACCCCCCCTCCCCAACCGATTTTGCGAACCTTCCCACTGGTTTACCGGGTTGGGTATTCGGTGGGCCTTATTCACCAGGGTTTTTGTTTTGTTTTTCTTTCTTTTCTTTTACTTTTTTTGTTTTTAATAAAAATATTATGATTTTTTAAATCACAACTATTTTCAATTTCGTGAATTTCTAAAATTTGAGAACTTCTAAATTCACAAACTTTTTTAAAAAATGATTTTATTTCATTTCTCAAATGCAGAAACTTTTTCAAACTTCGTTAATTCATTTTTTTCAATTTTGTGTCAATTTTTTTCAAATTCATGAATTTTTTTCAAATTCATGAATTTTTTCAAATTTATGAATTTTTTCAAATTTATGAACCTTTTTCCAAAACAATGATCTTTTTTTCAAATTTACAAAAAAATTCTTCAAATTTGTGAATGTTTTTCAAAATCTATGAAATTTTTCGTTTTTGTGGATTTCTTTTCAAATTTCTGAACTCTATTCAAATTCATGAACTTTTTTCGAGTTCATAATTTTTTAAATTTTGCAATTTTGCTTAAGCTGTGAACTTTTTAAAAAATTGATTTTCTTTCAAAATCAAGAACTTTTCTGTGAGCATTTCTCAAATGCAGAATTTTTTGAAACTTCGTTAATTCATTTTTTTTCAATTTTGTGTGAACTTTTTTAAAATTCATGAACTTTTTTCAAATTCATGAACCTTTTTCCAAAACAATGATCTTTTTTCAAATTTACAGAAAAATTCTTCAAATATGTGAATTGTTTTCAAAATCTATGAACTTTTTCGTTTTTGTGGATTTATTATCAAATTTCTGAACTCTGTTCAAATTCATGAACTTTTTTCAAGTTCATAATTTTTTTAATTTTTTTAAATTTGCGATTTTTCTTAATCTATGAACTTTTTTGAATAGTCGACGGTCAATTGTCAACAGCCGATTGGTCAACAGTGAACGAGGTCGTTGCTGGGCTGATCCACGGAAGCTGGTCGTTGCTCAAAAAAACAAAAAGAGTTATCTTCCCTTTTAATTTGCGTGCCAAACTGATCCTCAAAGTCAGGCCTTCCGGCCGGCACGGTACAGGCCTTTTTATAGCCAGGTCGTGCCAGGCCAGGCTGGCAATGTGGGGAAAAAGTCCAAAACAAACCTTGAATTTGTCGGCGAAAGCTAAATCAAACCCTGAACTCTCAATCCCTGAAATCAGCACACCAAATTTTCTTATCCCGGCCTATTTTAAACCTTGAGAGAGGATTTAGCCAGTATTTGCTGAATTAGGCCGGCCCATTAGCGGTGTCGCTCGCGCACCCACTGCACGGGGTTTTCTTTGTTTTTTTCCTTATTTGTTTTGTTTTGTTTTTCCTTTTTTACACATGTCTATTTTTTCTTCGTACCCAATATACATTTTTAACGCACACATAAAAGATTTTTTGATAAACTTTTGATATTTTTAAATACATTATGTACTTTTAAATTAAATGTTTTCAATTTTTTAATACAAGGTTATATTTTTTTCAAAATACATGTCTACATTTTATTAATGACAATAAACATTTTATAAAACTAAACAAACACTCTTTGCATGGTTCAACATTTTAAATTTGTAGACACTTTTTGCAAACACATGCCAAGTACTCCATCCGTTCCTAAATACTTGTCTTTCTAGAGATTTCAACAAGTGACTACATACGGCGCAAAATAAGTGAATCTACACTTTAAAATATGTCTACATACATCCGTATGTTGAGTCCATTTGAAATGCCTAGAAAGACAAGTATTTGGGAACGGAGGGAGTATATTCTATTAAGTTTAAGACACAATTTTTTACAACACGCAAACTTTTTTTACATTGTACACACATTTTTGTTTGAAAATGTCACAAACATATTTTTTTGAAACTCGTAAACACTATTGAAATGCTACATTTTTTATTGTACGAATCATTTTGTTCAATCACACAAATATTATTATACGTTGTATAAACATTTGTTTGAATTGGTCCGTACATTTTTGAAAACTTGTGATATTTTTTAGATGTCATAAAATATTTTCTTACAATCTGGTCAGATATCGAAATTTGTTCCTATTTTTTAAATTTTAAAAAAGCATTCACACTTTAAAATTATGTTCAAGTTCCAGAAAATGTTTATGTATCAAAAAGTGTTCGCACTTAAAAAATTTGTTCAGCTTTCGGAAAATTAAAGCTCGCTTCATGTCTAGTGGGCAGCCCAGACGAGTGCTTAGCCAACGATTCGAAACATTTTCTAAAAACATTATTTACAAAATTCTAAAAGCTTTATTTATAAAATGTGACACTATTTTTGAAAATCTGAATTCATAGCACGTGAAAAACTATGGACATTTTGAACATTTTTTAGAGTTATTTTTGAAATAACAAGCAGTTTTTAAAAATGCAAATATAATTTCAAAATTCGAGAAAAAACTAAAAGCACAAATGGAATTGAATTTGTGCGAAAAATAGAAAACAGGAATATTTTTGAGCTTCTGCAAAATTTAGAAATGCGTGAATGTATTTTAAATTTGACGATCTGTGTTATATGGGCCGGCCCAAATTATGAGTAGCAGGTTATCCCCTGGGATTTTCTTATTCCCAGGGTGCCAAGCAGGTCTAGGTTCAAAATAGACCGGGATTACAAGTTCAGAGTATCAATTTCCGGGATTCAAAATTTAGGGTTTGATTTAGTCATCGTCTGCAATTTCAAAGTTTGTTTTGGACTTTTTCCGCAATATGGTCAGGTTTTCGAACACCCAAACAAAACGGGCCAAATGATGGAATCCAGACAGGGAACTCACCGCCGGCCAGGATCGAAACTAATCCAGACAGGGAACTCACCGCCGGCCAGGATCGAAACAACCCACGCCGCCCGCCGCGGAGCTCGGGCAAAATCCAGCCGTGAGGGAAGTAGATCCCGCCAGGTCAAGCGACCAACAAACGCGAGGACCACCCGCGGCGCCAGATCCGTTGGTGTACACACGGCCACAACGGTCTCGAGCCGAAGCCTCGAGGCGGCTGGGAGCACCTTCCACGGCAGCGCCGCCCACCGTACCCCAACCACTCACGCTTTCGACGAGCAGTGCACTGCGCCGCCACCAATTCGGAGCGCCGCAATGGCCGTATCGGCCTATCCAAGCCGGCCGGGCACGAGGAGGAAGACCCGCCGTCACCATCTACCGAGTGGGCTTTGACCGGCGGCAGTGAGGGAGCAAGACGAAGGAAGGAGCTCGGAGAGTAGCGGGTAGGGTTTGCCACCCAAGTCGCCTAACGAGTCTGAATATATAAGCACACTTTGTATGTCAATAATTGTAAGTTTCAAAGGCAACTACTCCTTCAATTCCAAAGTAGATGACTCAACTTTGTAGGTACAACTTTAGAGTCATCTATTTTGTAACGGAGGGAGTAGCATTTTTATCTTTTTTTTTTGCGGGAACGCATTTCTATCCATCGGGTCAATGGGGGTGATTATTGGTAAAGTAGTGCATGTAAGTCTGAAGTTAAATCACGATTTTCCTTTCAACAACAAGAGTATCAATGAGCAGAAGAGACTTTTTCAATAAAATTCAGAATGATTTTTTGCAGCCAAAATTGTCGACGGAAGCAACGGGGATGTTGCAGTGGATTCCTACCATCTTTACAAGGCAAGGATACAGTTACTAATATTTTAGTTTAGCTATCCTGGATTTTCAGCTTTTCATAAATTATATGCTCAAATATGTAGATCAAGATGGCACTTATGAAAAGGTCATTGAATTTTAATTCCAATTCAGAAGGAAAAAAACAGTTATGTAGTATTGATATCAGCTTCGCAAATATCGCAGGAAGATGTGCGCCTCATGAAGGATATGGGAATGGATGCATACAGGTTCTCCATATCATGGACAAGGATTCTTCCAGGTATGACCAAATATATGTTTCAGTCCTCATATGTTCTGTCTTTATCCTGCATATCATTCAAATATAAGTTTAGAAAATGTTCACATCGACCTTATGAATGCATGCCAGATGGGACTCTGAGAGGTGGAGTGAACAGAGAAGGCGTCGAGTATTACAACAACTTGATTAATGAGCTATTATCCAGAGGTAGATGTATCTAGCCTTGATTATTTATTTAAGATTTATTCCCCAATGGTGTCAACCTGAATGCTGCAGACAACATCATACTATTTGTTCTCTATTTCACCGGATGATTCTTAAGATCAGAAATGGTTATAATTTTGCAGGGGTGCAGCCATTTGTGACCCTTTTTCACTGGGATTCACCTCAGGCATTAGAAGATAAATACGGAGGGTTTCTTAACCCTAATATCATGTAAGTGCTAAAAAAGCATCGTGAAATCAATGTAAAAGCTAACTTGAAATCAATGCTATTTCCTGTACCCATGATATTGCAACAGAGCCGTCGAACTAGCCATATTACAACAGAGCCATCGAACTAGCGATACTGTTTATTCTCTTCTTTTTTCCTCTCTCTAATGTTGTTTGTACGACCGCAGAATAGTATGCAAAGATAATTTAATTGTACCGCCGCTGGTGCAGAAACGACTATAAGGATTACGCTGAAGTCTGCTTCAGGGAGTTCGGGGACCGAGTGAAGCACTGGATCACATTCAATGAGCCCTGGGCCGTGAGCGTTGCGGGCTATGCAATGGGTGTGCTTGCGCCAGGTAGGTGCTCACCCTGGGAGATGGGGAAATGCAGCGCTGGAGATTCAGCAAGTGAGCCTTACACAGTATCCCACCATCAGCTACTCGCCCATGCGGCGGCCGTCAAATTATACAGAGAGAAATATAAGGTGATTAACGAAAGACCTTCAGTATTATTTGTGCATGAATGATCCGATGACTGATTCAAACGCAGGTCGTTCAGAAGGGGAAGATTGGGATAACTTTAGTCTCAGCCTGGTTTGTTCCCTTCTCCCGTTCAGACTCCGACAGTGATGCAGCAAAGCGTGCTACAGACTTCATGCTTGGATGGTAAGTTCTCTGTGATCCACGCATTTTCTGGTTGTCATGGTCTAGATGGAAATGATCTTACTGGCCAGGAGTGCCTGCAGGTTTATGGACCCCCTAACCAGAGGAGACTACCCACTGAGCATGAGAAGACTTGTCAGAGATCGCTTACCGCGGTTCACCAAACAACAATCTAAATTGGTCAAGGGTGCATTCGACTTCATTGGTATCAACTACTACACTGCAAACTATGCTGATAACCTTCCACCATCAAATGGCCTGAAGAGCTACAATACAGATGCCCGAGCTAATCTTACCGGTGAGTCTTGGATCAATCATTTTCCTTTAGGATCAAATTTTAGGTGTACTGTTTGTGCGATTTCAAAGTACAAATATTGCAGCTTTACCATCTCTACTATATATACTAATTTTCCAATTATGTTAGGATTTCGAAATGGCACCCCCATAGGTCTTCAGGTAATTTGCCTCTTCCATACATAGAAACAAATCTTCCATAATTGTTTCCACATTTTTCATGTGTGCTGATTCGGTTCCGTAAATATCATGCATATAGACTGGTTTACCTTGGCTCTACGTCTACCCTCAAGGGTTACGTGATCTGATGCTTTATGTCAAGGAGAAGTATGGCAATCCTACCATCTACATCACCGAAAATGGTGAGCATATTCCCTCTCATAGAAACATAAACATACTGAAACTTAAACTTACAGAACTAGTTGCCTCTGCGATCTAGGCCTCGGTGAAACCACCACCAACACGAGCCTACCACTCGCGGAAGCACTGAAGGACGATGCGAGGATAGAGTACCACCACATGCACCTTGTTGCCTTGTTGAGTGCGATCAGGTCGGACAACTCCAACTCTGTCAACAACCTTAAAACCTTATACTTATCTGACAGTGGATTAATTGCTTGCATTTGTCAGGGATGGGGCAAACGTGAAGGGGTACTTCGCGTGGTCGCTGCTGGACAACTTCGAGTGGGCGACTGGGTACACGGTGCGCTTCGGATTACACTACGTAGACTACGACGATGGGCGGAAGCGGTACCCCAAGCGCTCTGCCGGCTGGTTCAAGAGGTTCCTCAAGTGATGAGCTCGTAAAATTATTTACTACTCCTGAAGCTAAAGCAGTGACAAGTAATATGAACCGGAGGGGGTAGCAACCAGCGAGAAGAATGGAGTAGGTCGTTTATCTGTGTTTCGTTCTGTAAACTGTACCCCAAGGATTCCTTCACTGAAATCCAGTTCTTTCTATACATCATTGAGTGTACCCAAGATATCCGCCTGACTGGCTGGTGGCTGCGTGACTATCTGCAAACGTTCTGTATCAGTTTTTTTTCTTTTTGAGAGAGAGAAACGTTCTGTATCAGCTGTTTTTATGATGATGCTCATTTTCTCCGAAATCACTAGTTAAGGAGTACTTCTTGCGGAGATTACTTCAACTTTCCAAGGTTGTGACAAGTGGCGCGCTGCATGTGCGCCATTTGTCGCAACCTGTGAGTTTTCCTTTTTTTCGTAGATTCGTTTATTCAAAACATTTTATCTCTTAAACCGTGCGTCCAAATCTCGAACCGCTTTCGCTGTTGGATACCTCGCGTCGAGATCTTCAAAACTAGATCCCATGTTGATAGGTTTTGACGAACTTTCTTTTCACGAAAAAACCGGACGAAAAAAACCAACTAAAACCGAACCGGGAACACGGATTTTTTTCCCTTTCCGAAAAAGGCACGCCCGCCCGTGCCTCTGAACGAAATCACAACTGTGCCTCTCGCGGAAGCAAAACCGTGCCTCTCGTGAAATAAAAAAAAAACAGAAAACGTGTTTTTTTTTCCTTTCCGAAAGAGGCACGCTCGTGCCTATCGTGAAAAGCATAACTGTGCCTCTCGCGGAAGCAAAATCGTGCCTCACGCAAAAGAAAAAAAAATAGAAAACGCGTTTTTTTCCCTTTCCAAAAGAGGCACGCCCGTGCCTCTCGCGAAAGCACAACTGTGCCTCTCGCGGAAGCAAAGCCGTGCCTCTCATGAAAAAAAATAGAAAACACGTTTTTTTCCCTTTCCGAAAGAGGCCCGGCCGTGCCTCTCGCGGAAGCAAAACCGTGCCTCTTGCGAAAAAAAAACCAGAAAACGCGTTTTTCCCCTTTCCGATAGAGGCACGCCCGTGCCTCTCGCGAAAGCACAACCGTGTCTCTCGCGGAAGCAAAACTGTGCCTCTCGCGAAAGAAAAAAAACAGAAAACATGTTTTTTTTCGTTTTCAAGAGGCACGGCCGTGCCTCTCACGAAAGCACAACCGTGCCTCTCGCAAAAACAAAACCGTGACTCTCACGAAAAAAATGCGTTTTTTTGCGCAAAAAAATTATTTTTTTTTGAAAAAAAAAATTGGTCGAAAAGCTAGGGAAGACCGGTAGAAAACCAAAACGTAAAAAAAACCAAAAAAACCTGTTTAAAAAGCCAAAAACGAATGCAGAAAAATAAAAAAAACAAAATCTGGAGGAAGTGCCCAGAGCGCGACATGTGGCAAATGGCTGAGAGCGCGCCAAGTGACGCTGATCCTTGCGAGGCTCCCGAAGGAGCACTCGTTAATTAGGTGCTCCCGAAATCTCCCGAGTGATGTGGTACCGATATGGGCCTGCCTAATGCAGAATTTCCCGATTGTTGTGGGCTTGCAGGTTGCAGCAGATGCAGGAAAAGGAAAATTAAAAAGGGACGAAAACAACCTCGCATACTTGCATGATATATATTCCACTCCAAAAAAACTTGCATGATATATACTCCCTCCGTCTCAAAATACTCGTCGGAGAAATTGATAAAAGTGGATGTATTTAGAACTAAAATATGTCTAGACAGTGGCGGAGCTAGCATCTGACAACAGGGTGGTCCGCTCTAATTATTTTTTTTGCCAAGCAATATCACATCGAACATTCTAACTAATTAAAAATATCATAAAGAAATAGTAGATCAATATGGTCTTACAACATACTGAAGTTCTCAATTAAATTTAGTGCAAAATTATATATGTATTCACGTACTGGATGGCATAGTGCAAAAAATCAAACCTAAGTCTTCTTTTTGCGAATATAATCAAACCTAAGTCAGAAATTAGGGTATTTCAATACCTTTAATTGGGATATTCGAGGGGCTGGTGTGGTGACTGAGCGGTAGTGGCTACCGTCGGATTTGCAAGGGGGCAAGGGCAGGGGCGCCAGGCGGCCGGTCGCCGGCGGCCGGCAGGGGCACAGCGCAGCCGCACACAGGGCAGGGGCACGTGCAGGGAGGCGCTGCCGGACCAGAGGGACGGGCGGCAGGGCGGACGGGAAGGAAAGGTGGAACCGCGGGAGCATCCTGGGCGCCGGGCGGCTGGGCTCCGGCCAACGACGGACGGCGAGGTCACGAGGAACGACGATGGCGAGGCGGCTGGGCGTCGGGGTCGAGCAGTATCGTGCGAGGGCATCGCCGCGTCGGGACGAAGGGCTATGCTCGATGTGGACTGGCGTGGCTGCGTGGGTCAACCGAGAACTGTGTTGGGCCGTGTTTTAACTCTGGCCCAGTTAGAGATCTATATGTATAATAGGCTGACCCAAAATTCCAGGGTGGGCCGCGGCCCACCCTGGACACCTTGTAGCTCCGCCCCTGTGTCTAGATACATCCATTTCCTTGACGAGTATTTCCGGACGGAGGGAGTAGTATCTAAATTATTTTCATGTAATTTAAACATTGTTCACACAATTTATAAGGAAAATTCATATAATTCAAAACATCAAATATGTTAAAAAATGTTCATGTAATTTAAGAAGCGTTCACGGTTTGAAAATAAATATTTAATTTTAAAATGATCAAATATTTATAAAAAATCATCTACTCTAAAATATTACATATTTAATAAATAGTGCTCTTCTATTTTTAAAATATTCATGTAATTATTAAGAAGTGTTCACACTTTTAAAAAAATATCATCCATTATATAAGATGATCATGTGGTTTGAAAATATGCACACATGTTGAAAAAACATTCATGAAATTTAAAAGTGTACATGAAAAATTTAAAAAGTCTACGGGTCTTTCAAAATATGTTAGTGTATTTTTTATGAAAATGTTCGATTTTTCCCCGAAAGTTTTTAAATATTTTGAAAGTATTTGATAAAAATGAAAAAGAGAAAGGAAGGAAAAATAAAACTAAAGTAGGTAAAGAAGAAAAAGCAAAAGGAAAAAGGAAATTGAATAAAAAAACCTATAGGTAAAATAGAAATCCAGAAAAGAAACCAAGATAAATAAAGAGAATGAAGAGATCAAACGAAAGCCCGGATATAAAAACCGGAAAAGACAAAAATTGCTAGGCTCCCCAATATTGGGCGTGACCCATGTAGGGGCGCACGTGTGCAACGGCATATAGCATTTGCATTGCTTCAAACTAGACTAACTAAGAGAAAATCAGTGGCATAGAAGGGGTTAAGGTGTGCAGAAATGCACCATCAGTGTCTCATTTACTTTTTGCTGATGACTCCCTTATCCTCATGAAAGCTGATATGATCAATGCAACCTTGTTGAGGCAGGTGCTGGATGACTACTGTGCGAGTTCGGGACAGTTAGTAAGTGAAGGTAAATGCAGCATTTTCTTCAGTCCTAATGTTGAAGTGGAAGTAAAAGCCCAAGTTTGTGCTGAACTTAGGGGGTGTTTGTTTCCAGGGACTTTTTGATGTAGGGACTAGAAAAAGTCCCTAGCAAACCAAACATGATGGGACTTTTTTGGGACTTTTTGCTAAAAGTCCTTAGAAGCACCTCCTTGAGAGTCTTTTTCAAAAAGTCCCAGGGACTAAAAAAAATCCTAAGACTAGAGAAACAAACACCACCTTAATATCATGACAGAAGCCATCTCTGATAAATACTTGGGACTACCTGCAATAGTGGGTCTAGATAAGAGTGAGAGCTTTGAATACTTGCTGGAAAGAATTGTGAACAGGCTCAAAGGATGGAAAGAGAAAAATCCTATCCATGGGGGGTAAGGAGATTTTATTGAAGGCCATCATCCAGTCTATCCCGGTCTTTGCAATGGCGGTGTTTAAAATCCCGAAGAAGGTGTGTAAGGAGATGACAGATGCAATGGCCTCTTTCTGGTGGGGGGATACAGATGACCATAGGAGGATGCATTGGTTTGCCAGGTGGAGAATGTTTGTGCCAAAGAGTAGGGGTGGAATGGGATTTAGAGTTTTACATGCTTTCAATCTGGCAATGTTTGCAAAACAAAGTTGGAGACTTATTACTCATCCTAACACTTTGTGTGCACAAGTTTTGAGGGCAAAATACTATCCAGATGGGAACTTGTTAAAGGCAGGGCCAAAAAAGGGAGCTTCGTTCACTTGGCAGAGCCTTGTGGCGGGACTCCAAACTTTTAGAAGGGGTCATATCTGGAGAGTGGGATCAGGAACAAGCATCAATATATGGGAGAATCATTGGATCCCGGACAGTCCAACTCGGAGGGTTATGACACAGAAGGGAAGTATTTTACTATGACATGTGGATGAACTAATTGACCCTATAACAGAGTGGTGGGATGAGGACCTCTTAAGGAATATATTTCTTCCTACTGATGTCGAAAGAATTCTTAGAATTCCACTATCCTCACTGGTTGAGGATTTTGTGGCCTAGAATGGAACGAAATCTCACACATTCTCTGTTAGATCAGCCTATTACATCGAGTGGGAACGTCAGTTTGGTGCTAAAGTAAGAAATGACGCCGCCGGAATGTCAAGAACAAATCAAGTATGGGAAATCCTCTGGAAGCTACAGGTACCAAGTAAAGTTAAAATATTTGTCTGGCGAGCCCTAAATGGCACTGTCCCGGGCATGTGCATTTTGTGCAACAGACACATCAAAGTAAATCCCCAGTGCCCAATCTGTAAGTCAGGTCCTGAGGATATTCGTCACTTGATTTTCACTTGCAAGCATGCAAAGGAGGTGTGGGGGAGACTTGGATTGCAAGAGGAATTACTCAGAGTTCGGTCCTTTGTGTTGATCGATCAGGTTCGGTGTTACTAGAAGAATTACTCAGGAGCCCAATAAGTAAATCCCCAGTACTTGGTCAGCTCGGACTGCAGG